TTATGGACTCCATTAAAACACATTATGATCATGAATTAAACTACCATGAAGGTTACAAACAATTCCTATGATCATCTAATCTTCATAAGTTCAAGAACATGAATATGAACACTTTCAAGAATCAAAAATTACACTTAAAAAAAACTTGTAATTTTAATAATTGCCATTGTAAATGGATTAACATAAACATTACACCATCTAAAACAAGCTTTAAAACATCAAAACAGTTTAGGGTAATGTTTCTAGTCCATTTCCAGCAACAAATGTGCAAACTTTCATACGAGCAGAAAACAGAAAAACGATTTTTTTCAAGCTGTTTGCACACAAAAAAAAAACAAAAAACAACAAACAAACCTAGGCTCTGATACCACTGATGGGTTTTGAGCATTCTAACACTTCCTAAGTGTACATGCAACCCTAATAACCTTGGATCTATGTTTGTCTAATAATCATGCAAAGTTGAATTCCAAGGTTATATTCCTATCTAGCATACATGGGGAACATTTTTAACTTGAATGAAAGATAGAATAACTTACCTTGTTGTTGATTATGATCCTTGAAACCTTGTGAGCCTAGCACCCCAAGTGTGATGCCTCAAATGCTTCACACAACACCAAATGCAAAGGAGTAAACTTTGAGAGAATCTTACACTTGCAAAATCGGCTCTAGCCCTCTTGTTTCTTAGTGTCGCCGATTTTGGTGGAGAATGAGATTCTTATATAGTGTTGACACATCTAGGGTTACACCATGTAAACCCTAATGTGTCATGACTCTTCATTTCCATGACCCATGGGTTTGTAACTCCCATGGAGCATCCATGGAGCATCCTATGGGTGGAACCCAACTTGATAATCCATGGAGCCTCTTAGCCCACTATATAAGATATGGAAGATTTACATAATCTACCCATATATTTAATTAGTTATCTTTTGATCACTTAATTAATTCTAAATTAATTCTTGATCAAACTAATTAAATAATATTATTAATATATTAGAACTTATAATATATTAATAAACCATAAGTGTTATTTCTCTCATTTTAGTTTATCCAATTGCATGGTGCCATGCAACCCAAATGGACCATGCCGGGTCGAGTCAAGTACATACCAGAAATAGTTATGGACTTAGACACCTTATCCAACACAAACCTCATTCTACTACTCAAAATACCCCAAATGACCTAAGGTCAAACTTGGTCAGAGTTAACGGTCAATGGTCAAAAGTCAAAAGTCAAAAGTCAACCTCTAGCTAGTCGCTACCCCGTGACCATCCTTGGCCACACCGTGGCAGGGATACGACAAAACAGACGAGCCCTAGCCCAATCGCCACGTCGTGACGACCTAAGTCCATGTGGTGGCCACTGGTTCCTAACAACTTAATGGGTTAAGTCTTTTTCTACGATTATAAGGGCTCCAAAGCTCAGATCTGGTCCATTCTATGGTCTAAATGGTTAAAGTTTCCAACTTTATCCCTTTAGACCCTCCATGAGATAAAGATCTCAACTCCTAGGTCCAAAAATGGCAAAAACACAACTTGGATTAATCAGTAAGAACTTAATCTTGAAGACCTCTTGTCCAACGATCCTGGAAAGGTTTCTAGCACCATTACAAACATAAAAATCTATGTTTTCAGACATGCATGTCTTGAACTCCTATTAGGTCAAAATGAGGGTTAATGGCCAAAAATCCATGCATGACACCAAAACTCATTTCTAATCCAGATCCGAAGCACCAAATACTCATAATGGCCTGGAGATTCATTAACTTGCAAAATCTATGAGATCTCACCACTAAAGCCCATCAATACATGAAGAAAAGGGACAAAAATATAAAGATCTAGCAACTTAGCAAGGAAAAAGGTTGGGTCTTGGACACTCACCAAGGTCCAGAAGATGTGTTAGATGATGTAGATGATACTTGCAAGGTAACTACCACACCAAGCGCTTCTTTCTCCTTCAAAGATCACTAAAACACCAAGAATTAGTTCACAAAATGCAAATGGAGGCTAGGGTTAGGGTTTATGAGCTTGAAAGGCTGATGGAGGCTGAATGATCATAAAACACTAGCCTTAATGTTATTTAAATAGGGCCCAAACCCTAAAGATTAGGGTTTCTCTCCAAAAACACCTGCCATGCTATGGCGGGTCATTTAAACCCGCGATCCAAAACAATACCGCCACACCATGGCCACCCCAAAAATAAAAGTTAATATTTAAAAATTGACTCATACCTAGAACTAGTGTTATAGGAAATATGACTTTTATGGGTAAAGACTTGTAAGTACATTGCCTATATTGGTAAAAAGAATAAAGTACGTTACTATTTCTTGCAATTTGCTTAAAATTATTTTAATAAAACTAATTTATAATAATAAAATATCATTCCATTCCATCAAGAAATTTAAAAAAAAACCCTTTCCCCCTATGGATAGAAATCAGAATTCACATTCCATTCTATGTTAATGCTCCATTCCATTATGTGTTGGATTATTATTACAGTTGTCCAAGATGGATCGAATTGGAGTTTGGGACAACGACATCTATTTTGTTTAGGAATAACACTTTTGAAAAGAAGAAATATCCTTGTACTTGATGAAGCCACAACTTCAATCGATAATGCAACTGACACTATTATTCATAAAACAATTTCGGGAAGAATTTCAAGATTACATAGAAATTACAGTCGCACACAAAATCCCAATGATTATTGATTGTTTTTATTATGAAGGATGGTGAGTTTTTGACTTTTTTTACTATATATATGTTTCTTGTCTGATGGAATGGAATGGACCACTCCATGTTGAAGGAATATAATTCCATTACTTTGTGATTCCATTCCATCTAAGCAAAACGACTGATTTGATTATCGTGTTTGTAAATTACAGGAAAGGTGATGGAGTATGATAAACCCTCAAAATTGATGAATGAACCTGATTCTTTATTTACACTACTTGTTAATTAATATTGGTCACAACATAAAACCTCATGATCAGATTGTTAGGTAAGATCATATAATAATAATAATAATAATAATAATAATAATAATAATAATGGGATTAGTTTAGCAATGATCAGATCATTGAGAAATTAAGAGTTATCACCATTGTATTTACCTTTCAATGAATGGGAATGAGGTGATATGTTTTTTTTCTGAAATTTTGGATTTTGGTCTAGAAACTTGATTTCGATATGATTGTAGGGTTTGAAATAGTTGAAATCATGAATAATAAAAGGTTGTTTCTGTTTCGATTGTGAGATTATTTTTATGGGATTTATATAAGAATCTATGTAAGGATTTGAAATTGTAAGAATTTATGTTGTGTCGTGGTTTGTGGTTGGATAGATTTAGAATGAAATCGAAATCAATTCTATAATAAAATATTGTTTGGTTTGTAAATACATCAAAATAATTGGAATGTATATAAAATAAATCACAAAATTAACTTTTTTTTTAAATCTTTTTGACTATTTATTATTATTATTATTTTTAAATTACTTTGTTTATTTTTGTTAGAAAAAGTTATTTTTTTACCATCAAAGCTTTTCTTAACTAATAGCAAGATGTTAGAAAATTACAATGCATAGAAAACCTCCAAGCCAACCTATACAATCCATTATTTTAAGACCACACTTGAAATCCACATAAACGAAATGAAAATAGTATTAACTCAGTAAGTAAACAATTTAGAAAGCTCACCATTCCACTATATTAACTATAATAAATCTCTCTTTACCCATAACACTGCGCCATTCTATATGCTACCTTGGGCTATGGCTTATGTCACGAGGCTGATACAAACATATTTTGGATCTCGGGCGAAATAAAAAAGTGAGCCCATTAAAAAATATACATGAATTAAATTTAAAGGACTTATTATGAAAATTTAAAACCATGCCTCTCATCATTCATATTAGATAGTGAAAGCGTTATTAATTTATGTTAATTTATTACTAAACATGTTTTAAATATTTAAAAAGAATATACACTCTTAAATTATTTACTCATAACAAAAAACCACATATGTGCCTTAGGCTGTGGCCCAGCTTGTCCACCCTTATGGGTCGGCCTGCCATGTCACCTTATATCTGGGTCGGCCTTGCCTCCAAGATGACGATTCCATGACATGCTAGATGAAGTTGAGGTGGCTTCATCCATTATGTTGAAGTTGAACCGGCTTAACCTATTCTCCATCAACTTGTGACATATGCTTTGGTATTTGTACATTGGAACTTGAAGTGGGTTAGGAAAGATTGATTATTTGTATTGTAGATTGAAAAAAATAAAAATTAAAAACCCAATGTGTCACCTAGTTGTGAAAAGATTGAAAGAGATGGACTCTCTCAATCTTTAAAATTATCATAATCTTTGTTTGTCAAGAGGTAGAGACATTTAGGTGCTGTTTGTTTTTCTGAAGCAAAAATTTAAAAAGTCTGCGGACCACCTCTGCAAACCTCTGCAGCAGAAGAGGTGGATCAAACGGTTGCAGACTGTAACAAGAAGTGTGTTTGTTTTTGTTAACATCTGCAGACTGCTGCAGACATTAAAAAATTAAAATAATGCATCATGAATAAAAAAACATATAAGCAAAGATTTTAGCATATTCAGCAATTGTTTTAGCATATTCAACAAACATCTAAGCAAAATTTATGATATTTCAGCATATATTTGTGACCATTCAACAATAAACTATAACTATTATAATTGAAAAACAAACAATTCAACAAAGATTTTGGCATATTCAACAAACATTTAAGCATAATTTATGACACTTCACCACATAACAGGTGACCTTACAGCAACAATAACAATTTAGCAATAAACTTGCATCAGGTGGAAATGATAGAAAACAGAAAGAATTTTTTTTTTACATACTTGTGAAGGAATTCGTTGGGCTGCTGGAGGAAAAAGGGAAGAAGGAGCCGAAATTTATGGATGATTCAGCAACATATATGCAAAAATAAAAGAAATCAGCACCAATTTATGATCTCAAACGAATCCAAATGCCAATTCAGGAATCGATAGAAAAAAAAAACGTACCTGTGTATACTGCCGGACGAAGAAGGAAGAAGGAGGCGCCGACAAGGTGGGGCAACTGCGAGGTGGAGATCGATGGCAGAGAAGATGTGACGCGATGGGTTTCGATTTCTGGAAGAAGGCGTATGTTTTTTTTGGGGTCGGATGTTTTTAGGTTTAGGTTAGAAGGGGTGGGAAGAGGTACAACAAGTGCTTCCCCAAGAAGCACACGGGCAGAGGTTTTAAGCCCCGAAGACTTCCGAAAAACAAACTGTTGCGGGACTAAAAATGTTACGCATGTGCTGCGCCCCACAGCAATAAAAGCTTTGAAGAGGTTTTTGAAGAAAAACAAACAACACCTAAGTAGTTTCGAAAATCTTTAATTTTCCAACAAAAAAGAAGATAGTTATCATGTGTTATATGTTCGAAAATATTGAATATTCTTTTAAATAATGAAATTTAATAATCATTTCTAGAAAGAGGTTGGATTCTTTGACTCACATATCTCAAATCACATAAAAATCGATTACTCGTGAATATTGCAAAACACATGTCTTTTGTCGATTTCATTCTGCATAATTGCTTTTGGCTTTTGTGGATTTCATTATTGATTTAGCTGCTATGGTGGTCCGATCTCTGCAGCTATAAACACCACCGATTTTGTTATCTGAACTTCAGTCCACACATCAGTTTTACAACAAAACTACCGACTCTATTCTCCTTTCTCCAGACCTTCATCGGAGAATCTCCTTTCTTCAGACCTTCATTGGAGAAGAACTTGCATAATGGTAGATGGTTCACTTTATGCGCCTCTGCAAGCTAATCCACCACCAGACGAAAATGTTACTCCGATGGCCAACGCCGGAGTGTTAAGCATATTCACATTCTGGTGGCTAAATCCGTTGATGATCAAAGGGAAAAGTCAAGTTCTCGACGATAAAGACATCCCAAAGCTACGAAAGGAAGACACATCAGAAGAATGTTATTCCAGTTTCATGGAGACGCTGGAGAAACGGCGAGCAAAGAGTGTTTCCGGTGGTCATGGTGATTCCGATCCGCCGGTCTTATCGACGTTGTTCGTTTGGCAACGGAAAGAGCTCGTAATCACTGGTATTTTTGCGCTGATAAAAGTGCTCGCGTTGGCTTCAGGTCCTTTGATTCTTCGAGCTTTCATTCAACTTGTTCAAGGGAATGAAAGTTTCGAGAACGAAGGGTATTTTCTGACGTTAGGGTTATTTCTAGCCAAATGTCTGGAATCGATATCGGAGAGACAACTAAAGTTTCGGAGTAGAGTCATCGGACTCCAAGTCAAATCCATGTTATGTGCAGCAATTTATAAGAAGCAGCTCCAGCTATCAAACGATGCTAAATTGATTTACTCCTCCGGTCAAATCATGAATTACGCCACCGTTGATGCTACTAGAATCGGAGAGGTTCCGTTTTGGTTTCATAACATATGGACAATCGCTCTTCAGATCTGTCTAGGGATTTTCATAATCTATTATTCAATCGGAGTAGCAACGATCGCAGCTTTATTGGTAATAATATTAACAGTCGTCGTAAACATTCCGTTGGGGAAATTACAGCATAAGTACCTAACGAAACTCATGGGGGCGCAAGACCGGCGGTTGAAGGCCATAACAGAGGCGATTTCAAACATGAAGGTTCTGAAGTTGTACGCTTGGGAGACACATTTCCGGGAGGCGGCCGAAGAGTTAAGAAATGAAGAGATGAAATGGTTATCTGCGGTTATGATGCAAAGAGGGGTTTTCATGCTTATGTTTTGGTCGTCTCCGGCGATTGTAGCGGTGGTGACGTTTTGGACCTGTTATTTGTTGGGAATCGAGCTTAATGCGAGTAACGTGTTCACGTTTCTGGCAACGATTCGGATCATTCAGGAGCCGATTCAGGCTATTTCTGATGTTGCAGCTGTGTTTATTGAAGGAAGGGTTGCGTTGACTCGTGTTGTTGAGTTTTTACAGGCGCCGGAGTTGCAGAAAGACGGGAAGAATCATGGAAACATGGAAGATCGAGCTGTAGTAATCAATTGTGAATCGATTTCATGGAATGATGATTCTTCGAAACCGACACTTACCGATGTAAAACTTGAAGTTTTGACCGGAAAAAAAGTGGCTATCTGCGGTGAAGTCGGCTCTGGTAAATCGACTCTTATCTCCGCCGTTCTTGGAGAGGTTCCGAATATAAAAGGCACAGTACGACTCTTCTAACCTTTTGATCTGAGATTATTGTTATTTTATTAAATAGGTTCAAAACATAACGATTAAAGATTATATTTACGATCAATTAACTAATTAATTAATATCTATTTTATATATAGATCATTACATCTAATATATAACTAGTCAATGAAATCAAACAGAATCTGCATAAACGTGGACTAAAATTTGTCATATGAAATTTTATATAATTTTGATGGCAAAAAAAAAAAAACATTAAATCTCATTTATAACAGCTTTTTCATAACATTTTCTCCAGCCCAACATTATTTTTTTATAAAAAAATAATATAACATCTAATTTGATTTTATATTATTCCTTTTATATACCAAATCGATATAAGAAAAGGTGTTGACTAAAAATTAAACCTTTGAGTGGATCCATAAATGATGATCTCAAAAAATAATGTAACAGTCCAAATCTTAGATTCCCATTAATAGGTGGTGGGTTGTTGGCTTGGAATTGCCCTTTTTAATTCATTATAATCATGCAGGAGAAATAGAATATTACTTTCAAAAAGAAATAGTCATAGTTTTGAAATGAGGCTAATAATTGCTGTGTTTTGTTAAAAAAATTATGATATATATATATATATATATATATATATATATATATATATATATATATATATATATATATATATATATTTAAATAATAAACTAAATATTGTATATGTTTTATCAAAACACATAATAAAAAATATCAATAGTTAAACTGTAAATCTTGTTTTTAGTTTTACAAAAGAATTATATATGTATTGTAAAATTTGTACCTTTAATTTATTATAATATTGTTAACTATTAAAGGTTTATTGATATAGGGATAAATTTTATAACATGTAAATAAATATTTATTTATATGTGGTTAATATCACATAGCAATATAATAGCATTATAAAACCGGAAATTAAGTAAACATACAACTCTAAATGAGTTTTTTTTTTCTTATTTATTTATTTATTTATAACTTTATTTAAGAAAATAACTATATTTTTTAGTTTTGAAATATGTCAATTTTCTCCTAATGTTCCAATTTGGACTTGTTTTTTAAATTTCAGAGTTATTTTTTTATAATGTTGTTTTAAAGAAATATTTTTACATATGTTCGAAATGTCCGATTCGAAATAAAATTTTTGATTTTAAGTCCTAATATCGTATGCTAATTTTTTGTTAAATTACAGTAAAAATGATTTTTTTATCTTGAAATTTCGGAATTGGTGATTAGATTTTGGACTTTTTCTTGAAATTTTGGAGTTTTTGTTCGAAGTCTGAAATCCAAAATATAAATTTTTTATTGTCAAAAAAGTGATTTTTATTGGTTCGTACTTTTGTATTTTGGACTTAGTGGTTATTTTGCCAAAGAAAAAAATTTGGTTTTTTTTAAATACACTGTTACATTATGTTAGTTTACTCAATATTCTTTATAAAAGTAAGTTGTTCAACCTCACATCATCAGGAACCAATGTTCTAAAAAGCGCGTCATGGCTCCAAGGCTCGCACATGCCGCTAAGCTTTACCAAAACGCCGTCTTAACTCATATATGTGTATAAAAATAAATAATAGTTGAAAATACATATAAAATATTAATTATATAGAAAATTACCGCCTTAAGTCACGCCTTACAAACGTCGCGTGACTCGTTAAGGCTTGAAAAAACTTGAGGCTTGACATTGCCGTCAAATCACGTTTTACATTATTTAGAACCTTGTCAGGAACACATATAATGTCATATTTTATTAATTAAAGAAAATAATACTCAATGTACTATTCTCTAAAAAAGAAAATTATTAAATTATTTTTATGTCAACTAAATGCTATTATATTTTCTGATTTTGGGATATATATTAATATTTTACATTTTTTGATTTGGGATATGTAGTAATATTTTACAACCAGATAATACAAGGGAACCGAATGTAAAGTCTAGATGGAGTTAAAAAAATTAAAATGCAGATCAACACTTACAAATTCTGAAAATATATAATGTCATATACTTATTTTAATTCCGCATAAGATATAACAACATTAATTTTTATAAAGAATATGTAATGATTTTTATGGATATAAAAATAACATCATAATTTTTTTAAACACAAAAACAATTAAAAATTACTTGTTGAAAATTTTTAGTATATCACAATAAAGTTGAAGGTGTTAGGCTGCAGGGAGTGGCCGCGGTTTATGCCACCTCAGCCGCGAACACCGCCCCCTCACTGCGGTCTCCTGTGGTTTTGGCCGCACCGCGGCCCTCTATAGTCGTGCAATGTGATTGGTTGGGAGGAATTAGGTCAAAATACTACCGTTTTTTTTTCTTCTTCTTTTTTACTTTCTTTCCTATAAAATACTACATACACTTCATTTTTTTTTCAAACAAAAAACACTCTTCTCTCTATTTTATTTAAAAAAATTCATCAATCTCAAAAATGTGTTTTTTTTTTCATGTGTATTTTTTTTTTTGGAATGTAATGTAATGTTTTTTGAATTTTCAATGTAATGGGTTTTTTAATTTTCAAGTAATGAAAAAATATGTTGTTTTATTAAAAAAAATTTATTAAATTAAAATAGTTAAAAAAAAAGAAAAAATAAAAAATAAAAGTGTGACACCACTCCTGCAAGAAACCACACTTGTGTGGTAAAAGGCGCATGTGACGGTGGTGAAGGGAGTTCGGATTAGGTGGCACCGCTCCCTCCGCCCTTAAATTTTGTGCCCGGCAATAGCTTAAGATATGTAGCTGAAGTTTTGCATCACAGCTCGAGTCTGTAGTGATATGTAATCGGAATTTGATCTTCAGATTGAAGTGAATGGGAAGGTGGCATACGTTTCACAAACGGCATGGATCCAAACAGGGACAATTCGAGACAATATATTGTTCGGAAATTTGATGGATGAGGAGAAGTATCAATATGTAATAACCAAATGCTCCCTTGTGAAGGATATCGAGATGTTCTCATTCGGCGATCAAACAATCATCGGAGAACGAGGCGTAAATCTTAGTGGTGGACAGAAGCAACGAGTTCAGCTTGCTCGAGCATTATATCAAGATGCCGATATATACCTCTTGGATGATCCATTCAGCGCGGTTGATGCACATACTGCATCAAGTTTGTTCAAAGTAAGCATCGTTTTCACTTCTCTCTTCAATCTGCAACAAAAATGTAAATCGTTAAAATGTTTGTTATATTTCTAGGAATTCATCATGGAAGCTTTATCCAGCAAGACGGTGTTACTTGTAACTCACCAAGTCGATTTCCTGCCTGCTTTTGACGATATCCTGGTAAGCTAGTTAACGAGTCCTAAACCCTAATTTGTCATTTTAGCGTTTTTGTTCTCTTATATTCTTAATCGGCTTTGAATTTGTTAATAGTTAATGGCGGACGGGAAGATTGTTGAAACAGGAACCTACGATCAATTGCTTGAATCCAGTAAAGAGTTCCAAAACCTTGTAATTGCACTTAGCGAAAATTCTGGTTCAGATAATCACACAGCCGATAGCTCTCAACAAAAATCTGAATCCCCAATTCAAGAAATTGAAAACATTAAACCGATAAAAGAGATAGAACCGTCGGTAGGGGAACAACTGATTAAGAAAGAAGAACGAGAATCAGGGGACACAGGTTTAAGACCATACAAACAGTATCTTACTCAGAGCAATGGAGTCTTCTTCTTCTCTTTATCGGTTTTATTACATTTGCTCTACATAATCGGACAGTTCTCACAGAATTTGTGGTTGGCTAAGGAAGTGCAGAATGTAAGTATAAGCCAGATGGAGTTGTTGTTGGTATACATGATCCTTGGTATTGTGATGATGGTCTTTTTACTTGGGAGATCTTGTTTTATTTATAAGTTAACAGTAAATACATCAATTGCAATGTTTAACAAGTTGATTACATGTCTATACCGAGCACCAATGTCCTTCTATGACTCAACACCTGTGGGAAGGATCATTAGCAGGGTAACTATTTTTTTACCTAAACTCATACATATATATTATTAATTTATCATGCTTGAATGATCTGCAAGAAACTTAGGTATCTACTTTTGTTAGGTGTCCTCGGATCTCAGCATTGTGGATCTTGAATTGGCAACAAAGCTTACGTTTACCGTAGGCACAACGATGAACACATACTTTAGCCTTGGAATCTTGGCAGTCCTAACTTGGCCTATTTTGGTCATTATCATTCCAACGGTTTATGTTACCATACTTCTGCAGGTAAAAAAAAACAGTGTTCCTAGAGTTGAGGCAAATTTGTAAAAAGTTAGGACCTAATTGGAATAATTTTTGTCTAATGTTAACTCTCCAATTTGTTTACACAGAAATTCTACTACGCATCTGCAAATGAGTTGATGCGATTAGATGGCACAAGTAAGTCATTAGTCACTAGCCATCTTGCACAATCCATTGCTGGAGTGGTTACCATTAGAGCTTTTGGCGAAGAAGAACGTTTCTTTGTAGAACATCTGAACCTTATTGACAACAATGCAAGTCCATTTTTTCATAGTTTTTCAGCAAACGAATGGTTGATCCAACGTCTAGAAATGCTATGTGCTCTTGTTGTTGCTAGCTTTGCACTAGCCATAACTTTGCTTCCCTTTCAAGCGTCTGACTCAGGTTAGTGATATCAAAATTCAAAATATAATCTCACTGGTAGACTCCAACATATATAGAGGCAGGATGAGATGAGACTGTGTCTAGTTGATGTGGAATAATAATGAGAACTATGATGCTTCTCTAACAACAAACATTTTAATCACAGGACTCATTGGAATGGCTCTCTCCTATGGGCTCTCATTGAATGTTTTTGTTGTTCTTTCCGTCCAATTCCAATGTCAGCTATCGAATTTGATAGTTTCGGTTGAAAGACTAGAGCAATATATGCATATCCCTAGTGAAGCCCCGGAAATCATAGAAGACAACCGACCCCCAAGCAATTGGCCAAGTTCTGGTAGAGTCGATATCCAAAACCTAAAAGTACGTACAATTTTCAAACTTTTTTCCATGCTTGTTTGGCTTAATGGAATGGAATAACAAAAGAATGGAATGGAATAAGCAAGGTGATGAAAATGATTATTGCTTTTTGTGATCAAGTTTGTTTGGTCTTTACGAATGAAATGAATTCTCATATGATTTAGAAGTAATTAAATAAATGGAAGGAATCGTCTATTCTATTCCATCACACAATCGACAATTCCATTCCTTTCCCAAATCCATCATTTCAAATTCCTAATTTTACGACTTATTTGATTATTTTTATAATGTAGATAAGATATCAACCGAATTCCCCATTGGTTCTTCAAGGAATCAATTGTGTATTTGAAGGAGGAAACAAAATTGGAATTGTTGGAAGGACAGGGAGTGGAAAAACAACTTTAATCAGTGCTTTGTTTCGCCTAGTTGAACCTACAGAGGGAAGAATCATTATAGATGAATTAGATATTACTACAATTGGACTCCATGACCTTCGATCAAATTTTGGTATTATTCCACAAGAACCGACTTTATTTAATGGATCCATTCGATATAATCTTGATCCTCTTGGAGAACACAGTGATCAAGAACTATGGCAGGTAAATTAAAACACTTGATAATCATAATTATTGTCAAATTGTAACACTTGTTGTCTTTTTCTAGGTTCTTGAAAAATGCCAACTTCGCGATGCTATTCAAGACAAAAAAGATGGGCTGGACTCGTTGGGTAAGATTTAAGAAGATTTACTTATTGACTTAGTGTCTGTTTTGTTTGGTATGATGGAATGGAATGAACAAGGTAATGAAATGCTACTATTTCTTGCAATTTGCCTAAAGTTATCTAAATAAAAGTAATCTATAGCAATAAAATATCATTCCATTCCATCAAGAAATTAAAAAAAAAAAAAAAAAAACCTTTCCCCATGGATCGAAAATCAGAATTGACATTCCATTATGTATTGGATTATTATTATTACAGTTGTGCAAGATGGATCGAATTGGAGTTTGGGACAACGACAATTGTTCTGTTTAGGAAGAGCTCTTTTGAAAAGGCGAAAGATACTTGTACTTGATGAAGCCACAGCTTCAATCGATAATGCTACTGATACAATTATTCAGAAAACTATTCGGGAAGAATTCCAAGATTGCACAGTTATAACAGTTGCACACAGAATCCCAACTGTTATTGACTGCTCAATGGTACTTGTTATGAAGGATGGTAAGTTTTTTTTTTTTTTTCCTATGTATGTTTCTTGTCTGATGGAATGGGCCTTTCCATTCCTGAAGGAAATATGATTCCTTACATTTTGTTAATTTTCATTTGTGCAACTTTTAATATTTTACCTTGTTTGTAAATTACAGGAAAGGTGATGGAGTATGATGAACCCTCGAAATTGATGAACCAACCAGATTCTTTATTTGCACAGCTTGTTAATGAATATTGGTCACAACATAAAACCTCATGATCGGATTATTAGGTAAGATCAGATTGCTACATTAATAATAATAACGAGATTAGTTTGCGATCATCATTGTGAAATTGAGAGTTATCACCATGTAATTTACATTTCATTTCTGTAAATCTCGTGCTTCTTCATTCTCAACGAATAGGGGTTGTCTGATTTTTGCTGAAATTTTTGATTTTGGTTTAGAAACTTGATTTCATTATGATTTTAGGGTTTGAAATCATTGAAATCATAAATAATAAGGAGTTGTTTCTGTTTCGATTGTGAGATTATTTTTGTGGGATTTAGAATCTATGAAAGGATCTGGAATTGTAATTTACAGTCTGTTGTGTGTTTGGTTGGATCGATTTACAATGGGATTGAAATCTATTCTACAATAAAATCTTGTTTGGTTTGTAGATTTATCTTTTGTAAATTTATCAAAAGATTTGGAATCTATATCAAATAGATCACAAAATTAATCTTATTTATATCTTTTTGACTAATTTTTTTCTTGTTTATAAACTAATTATAGAATTATAGATATAAATTATAAATAATTGTTAACACAATTAAAATACTTTTTGTTGATCATTGTTAGAAGAAGTAACTTTCTTTACCGAAAAGTATTTTTTAAACTATTAACAATATGATATAAAATTACAAACGATAAAAACTATATACGAGTTTTTAAGCCAACCGATACAATCAGTTATTCTAAAACGCGGCGCTTATTCAAAATCCATATAAATGAATTGTAATATAGTATCGAAAACACAAAAATTTGAAGGATTTTAAGATTGGAAAATAATAGAATTTCATAAAGATCATATCGTGTAAATTGTGGGAATAACAATCTAGTTGAATCCTTTCTTCTTAGTTGCTAGAAAAGCTTTTGTTCTACCCAACAAATCCAATCTGTAGTTGTATCAAAAGATTGCACATGAACATTCTACCAACGAGCACTTAAGCACCACATGACTACTTCACATGTAGGAAAAATGATTTATAGAATCGATCTAACCCCTTAATTCTCTATAGAACCCAAGTCAACAAATTGTTTTATTAATGTTACCACATTATGACATGTGTCCTCATGATACCACACCCATTTATCATTTTTACAATTGAAACATTTTATACATCCAAAAATAGTAACTAATTGGTGGTGTTCTGTACCACCCCTTCGCTGCCGATTTCAATTTCAATCCCCCACCACCCAAAATACCCACGATCTTCTTCCAGAATGTAAAGTAGGTTAAATCGTTGGGCAAACAACACATCACCTATTCAAACTTCATTCCAAAAAGAGGTAATCAGAGTATAAAACCATTCATTCATTCGTCCCCAAAAATACTAAGGAAAATTTTCATTTTTCAACAACCAAAAACCATTCATTCATTCGTCCACAAGATAATCAGAGTATAAAAAGTATTCTCAAAACATCAATGTAAGTTCGTAAAATAGATAGTGCGGAAAACTCTTGGGGATGCAATGCGATCAAGTCAGGTCATTCCCTTTGGAACCAGAGTTCCCCAAAATACCATATACCATACATAACATGACGAGTCTATTTCAACTCTAAGTGAATGCTATGGGCCAAATCATAGTCTTACAATCACCTCCTGTTATGGGTCAAATCATGGTCTTTCCTTGCAATGATAATGACTACATCATGGTCTTACATGTAAGTGTCAGGGATAAGATCCTGGTTGAAAGGAAACACCTTATGATTTGATGAGTTAAACACTACACGCTGACCACCAGCGCCGACGTCAGCACTAACACCAACACCAACACCAGATCTTATCAGCATCAACATGAACCAATGATCTTGGTGATTTTATGTATATTAGGCAGTTATACGTATATATATATATATATATATATATATATATATATATATATATATATATATATATATAATAGATATTTGATCAGTAATCTTAGTGATTAGGATCAGACATTTACTTAGAAAGATATACATCCCTTAATTAGTGAGATTTCAGTTATTGTAATCGTATATAATCAACATTAGGGTAAAACCCTAATGCAGGTCTTGGTGGCCATCTTTGTGAGAACACTCTTTCTTAATGAAAGTATCTTTTTGATTATATGTGTTCTTCAGTTTTTCTGTTTAATCTTTGCTTTGCTTTGTTTGATTCTTTTCTATTCATACTTGAGTGTATCTGATCGATATAAATCTTTAATTGGTATCAAAGCAGGTTTTCTGATACATTCAAGTTATCAGAGCAGTTTAGAATATTTGTTCTAAGATCTGTTCATAGAAGGTCTTAAATTATTTTAAGGCATTTAACATTGTAATTAAGGAAAATAGATAAACCCTAAGGGATACCTATCATTTTCGAAAATAAGGACTGGAGGCTAGGGTTTCAAGAACCCTAGCCATTTACGAAAATTTAAGCCTTTAGGGTTTAATTCCCATAAACCCTAATTTTGAACAATTCACTTTTATGCATAATCAAATAGAAAACTAAGGCTTTGATACCATTGTTGGGTTTTCTAGGCCATAAAAATTACATATGAACATAAAACACTTAACCCTTAAGTTCACATGCAACCTAGTTTGGATCTATGTTTTCTCTATTGATAGTAATAAACAATGAATATCAAGAAACCCTTGAGAGAGGCTATGAAAATCGAAAATCACATAAAGATTAGAATTACATACCTCTTGATTATTTTAGCAAATAATCAATTTGATTCCTCTTGTAGTTCCTTGGAAAGCAAGCACAAAAAGCTTGGATGCCTCTAATGGCTTGTACCCACAACCCTAATAATTAGAAGACTTGAGGAGAGGGGAGGTTTAGAGCAAATTTTTGGCTCTTGAGAGTTAGAAGGAGTAGAAAAAAATATGAGACCCTAGGGGTCCTATTTATAACTGATGAGGAAGCCTTGGATAACCCTAATTTGAATATAATAATAATATTTTGAATTAGGTAATTATTCAACTCCTTAATTATCCAATAGGATTAGTCTAGAAACCCTAAAATCCCTAGCCAAAATCGGCCATGCTTAGAAGGTTCTAGAAACCCTATTTTCTCAACTATTAAACAATTACAGCTTAATCCCTACACTTCCAATTAATTTTAATTAAACCGAAATTAATTCCAAGTAATTCTTAATTAATTATTACTATTTCTAATTAATATACTAATCATATAATATATTAATAAATCATTTGTTATAATTTATGAATCATATAATAAATTAACAAATTAGTCTCTCTTTCAAAAAGTCATTCTATTCGGTTACTGATTATGAGGGCAACCCAAAAAGGATTTTTCTTCTATTTCAAGAATATACCAATTTAGTTATTGGCTTAGACACATTAATCCAACAATATTTTGATCGTAAAAGTTAACGACTTTTCTAAGTGAGAGACTGTTGGAAATAGTGTCCAAGGTTATTAACCGTTTTGGTAATATTTCTAATAATTTTGGGTTGGCCTTATAACCCAAATAGTAATAAGGAAATGGAGATAAATTCATCCAACCTCTCATCCTCTCTCTCTCCATGGACGAAATTCTAACCCCTCTCCTAGGGTTGTGAATTTTGTATAAACCCTAATTAGGGTTTGTCTTCTTTGCTTTTGGTGTTGTGGGTTTGACTTCATTAGAGGGGTGTTACGTTGGATCCTTCATCCATAGCAACGAACTGGAAGTTACGAGATCACAATCAAGCAATAAAGAGGTTAATAGTTCTTTCTTTTGTTGATTTTTAAAGTATGTTTCTATAACTAGTAAAACCTAGATTCTAGAATGCATGTTTGTCACAACCCCAAACCGGAACGGCGGAAACGTTCGGGGGCGGAGGATGTCATGTACAGTATCACAACAATTGAATAATAGTAATCAAAGAACAACAACCATTGTATTAATATTAAAGGTTTACATTGTATTCGGTTCACAAAAGATTGACTACAAAAGTAAATAACAAAACAAGGACTTGAAACTACTATGCTCCATCTTCTGAATCTCACTGAGTGTACCTGTCTACTAGTATCCTGAGAATACAAGTAGGTTTTGAAAGAGGATCAGCATTAAGCTGGTGAGTTCATAAGCGTTTTGTTTTAGAAAATAGGTTTTATGTTCTTTGAAAAGTGTGTTGTATTTCTCCAGAAAACCCTATATTTTTTGATGTAATGAATGTTAAGTAAAATGATTCATACCCATTCTTCTGCGAGCACTTAGTGTATACAAATCATATACAATCCAGATCGAACAAACAATCGATTGTGTGGTTCTACCCTAAGCCTACAACCAAACAAGGAACAAGAAATGAGGCGGAAGCCACACATTCCACTGGTTGTCGGATCCTCATGTACATAACCCTGAAGTATTCACTAGGTACTTACAAAGTTGACTGTATTGATCCTTTCAAATCTGTTGAAAGTGTTTCTCAAGAAAATCCAATATTTTCTTAATGAAAGTATGATAATACCGGTTCCTTCTATGACCACTTAATTCATACTAACTATGTATAAACCAATATCGAATAGACAATTGATTGTGTGGATCTGCCCTAAGCCCACAACCAAACAAGGAACAGGAAATGAGGCGGAAACCACACATTCCATGGTCTATCAGATATTCTTCATACGTAGCATGGATGCATAAACTAAGGAATTATATAATTAACAATGTATACTCGTTAGTTAAATGATAAACCGATTGTTTGTAAAACACTGATGTTTGTCCTGGAAAATCCTATATTTTCCTAAGTGTAAGTTGTTGTCTTAACTGTTCAAAAACTGAAAAGTACAAGTATCTTTCATACTTATATTATTAAAGCATTGTTCTATTTGAATACCCTAGCTACCACTAGTAATGTATAGTAGTTTTATGTCTTAAAATAAAGCTAGTCGAAAATGTATTGTTCTGTATACTGAAAGTGTTGTTAATACCTTCCTGTGATCACTTAGTACATACGAGTTATAGAAATCTAAATCGAACAGACAGTCGATTGGGTGATTCTGCCCTAAGCCCACAACCAAACAAGGAACAGGAAATGAGGCGGAAGTCACACATCCCACTGTACGTCGGATGTTAATTTCATATCACCATGATGTATATACTAAGTAATCCCCTAGTTATTAACCCTGATGACTGTTTGTTAAGTATATTATTATGTGAACAAGTCGTTGTTTCCCCTGTGAGTTCTTATAACCATGTTAATGGACGATAACCACTACGACGTACTTCGGACATCGTAAACTGAAATGACGTTTGTCACCCTCGGTTGATTGTAGCTAATAGTCAGGGTGCGGGATTGTCAGTCCCGTATAGATCTATACACAAACTCACGCTCTCCCTCCAGGAGACACTGGTTCCTAAGGAGTAGACTTCCCAGAAGTCGTGTCTCACAATGTAGTT